TCAGCCACCTTTGGCTGCTGTTCAAGGTCATTAAGTTGGACCGACTTCACATCATTGCAATGCTTTAACTTCTTTGGACGCTTCCCATGGTCTTTCATTTGTAGCTCATCCATATTTATCTTTCTTTCTTCCACTGTAATGGTGTCTCTTGAAAGTTGGACCGACTTGACATTGTCATGCTCAGCCACCTTTGGCTGCTGTTCAAGGTCATTAACTCGGGCCGACTTGACATCATTGCAATGCTTTGACTTCCTTAGACCCTTCCAAAAGTTTTTCATGTTTAGGTTATACATATTTATCTTTCTTCCTTCCACTGGTGTCTCTTGAAAGTCCTCAATAACTAGTTTGGAGAATTAAAGTCTGGGGTATAGAGTTTTTTTGCCTCTGATTTATCTTTCTTCGTCCCACTGTAGGCTAGTACTGGTGTCTCTTGAACGTCCTCAATAACTAGATTGGAGAAGTAGTCTGGGGTCGGTAGGCTATATAGTTTATTTTCCTTTGATCTGGACAAATTGTTGTCTTTCATCTCTTTATGACGTCATGCCGTTCTATAGTCTGTTTCTGAACTGACGTTTTGCCTTTGATCTTGACGAATCACGTGTGACGTCATTCTATGCGCAAGCTGTGGCCGTTTGGAGACCGAATGCGTCACCGCGACTGCGACGAGGCTGTCCCATGAATACAGACATATTTAAATGCTGAAATAAATAAATATAATAGTAAATAAATGCTGAGATGAATAAATGAAAGTTGATACTGTAACAGACTGTCTCATGTTTGTCGTTCTGGTGTTGACGATGTTATGTCCCTTGAGGGTTACCGTAGCGAAGGCGCAACTCCCGCCTCTGGCCAAAGGAGAAAACAATAATAAAGAGAGTAGCCGTGGGCTGACACAAGATATCTGGTCTCCCGACTCCAGTTATTACTGTATGATAAGTGCCCTTATACACGAACCCAAGACGCTCGGTTACAATACCTAAACGGGACGTAAGTAAATAAATACATTTCTGTATTCCTTCATTTATTTATTTCTGTGTCCGTATGTTAGTGAGGTAGGCGGTCCGAACCTCATTCTTAAGCAGGATTGATCGAGTAGGGGAGCAAGACAGAAGCAACCGATTCCTAGCAAATCATCCCTGTGGACGACGTCAAAAACTAGCTAGCAGCACTCATGGCTTCGACCGGGCGGCCGCTGGCAGACCTGCGGGTTGTGGCTGACCAGCTTGAGAACTGTGAGTTTCTTCTGTTTAAACGTATAAGCAGCATAACAACAGCAGTTGTTTAGCTAAATACTGTTGGTCAAAGTGCCAATATACTCTATTAAACTGAACTAGGCAGCCATGTGGCGTTCACTGCTTTGTTATTTTTTTGTGCAGCACCGAGGACCGCAAACGAGCTAAGTTCACCTCCGCGGCCGCAACATAACGTAACACCCAGGCACCCAGTGGACGGTTGGTTTCTGCGGCCGCAACATAACGTAGCACCCAGTGGACGGTTGGTTTCTGCAGGGAACACTTTTCCATGCTAAATCCCTTGTGTAAACTAAATCACTATCGCGGTGATGAGTGATTCATTTATTCATGCTGTGCGTCTGATCACATTCCTGTAAAGTGTGCGATGATATCGTTAGCCAACATGTTTCGTCTGCAACGTTCTTATGTTCTTGTACTGATTATAGCTTATCCTCTTCACTTGATTCTAGCCGAGGTTTCAAGACTGTTTGTTTGGTCCATACTTTGGAGGGAGAATGACGACAAGGAGGCGAACTGTTGCTGCGCCCGCACAACTTCATTCGTACACTCACTCTTTCTGTTGTATTGAGGATAAAAATGCGGCCTTAGTCCCCAACCGACACGCCAGAGGTAGACTTGCTGCTGCAGGACTAGGGGAAAACGTCTTACATTCCAAGGTAAGTCAGGCATCATGATGGACAGACGCATCTTTCTTGAATTTTAGTTACCTTTCAAAAACATCAAACGTTATTATATTTCAAGTTAGATCGGTTGTTTGGATTATTATCTTCTATTTTCAGGTAGTCATACAGATCCAGATGACTTTAGAGAATTTATTTTAGAGGCATATCCAAAACTCAGACAAGGGGGAGGATTTGAGTTGCTCAAAATCTCTGGAACAACATGGTCGCCAACTGATCATCATACCATGTCCCAATGAGGGTTACCATGTGAGACATTTAAAAGATCCACAAACACAGATTGGTCATGCTACAATTTTCATCCGACCACTCCAAAGAAAGCTGAATCTGGAACGCTGTAAGATCCTCACTTTTAAATTGGTGTTCCCATATGAAAATGGCAAGAGTATGAACATTTACACAAGTATAGCTTGTGTTACATTTTAAAATGATCTTGTTTACAGGCATGTCAACCAGAATGCAGTAATGAGCTAGTTGGACCACCTCAGAAATGTGACGTGTGGAGAGGAGTTCCCTTTTACAAGAATCAAGGCTCCCAGTGATGAATGCGTGAGGTATTGCTCTACAGAACTAAAACATCACATTTGTCAAGCACTCAAGTAGTCGTACATCAGACATTAAGCATTAGGCTCTGGAGTCTGCCAAAAGATGTAAAGCATTTTGAATGTGGATGATCCTGAATATAGGTCTTGAGGGAAAGTTTAATTTTTTATGGATTTATTCTATTCTATTTATATGACCATTCTTTTCTAGTTGGTGTTTTTGTGAATGTAATGTACTATAAAATATACTGGCCCCAATAACAAAACGTGCTTCTCTTTACCCAAGACCATCACAGAACAGTGGTGAGGTAGAAACTGTGGTGACAACAGACAAGTGCCTCCCGAAGTGAAGGTAGATTTGTGAGCATGTTGACAAGGCTACAAGTGAGACAACAAGGGCCAGCAACACAAACTACTGCGTGCCACCTCTCAGGGACATGTGGCTGCTCCTGAGATAGTTGACCTAGATCCCACTGAGGAGAGAGGCTTCCCAGGTGTGTTACATCATTTAAACATTACATCATTTATTGCAATAAATTGTTGCTCTCTAAATATCAATTCATCCAGTATTAATTGGAATCATTTAAAAACTCTTTTTAGATTGGAAAATTCTTTCAAATCCCAGTGAGGCAGCAAAGGGATTTAAAGAAGACATTTTAAGCCGGCATGCAACTGGAAAATCATTCTATCTTACCATGGATCTTGGAGACAGTGCAGAGGACAGTCCTTTCTTTTTATAAGAGGGCTAATGTTGAGTAGGCTTGCCCCTTGACATGCACACTCGAGGGTAAATTGGTTACACACGCAAAACTAAAGATAAAAAACGATCATATATTCATTTAACTGATGTCTGTACTGTGTATTTTGCTTTTTCAGGAGATCCAGCAATTGGTGATGGCGTGACTCGCTGTTTCTTTGCAAGCATCATGTCCAAACTTCAGTATGGTTTCGAGATGAATTTTGGTAAACTTCAGGGGACGTTTTGGGAGGAATTTCGTCATCCAGCGCAGCTGTGTGCCTCGCTCCCTGGTGTACCGAGCCGCATATGTGCCGGGCTGCCCCCAGGACGTCAACCCATACCTGTATTATCCTGCTGCCCAACGTTGCAGGCGCTGCGACACGCGCACACACCACTGCGTCCGCTCCAGCCGTATCTCCAATAACCGATGCACCGTGACCCTTGGCGGTGCGAATTAGCCAGACCCAGCCCTCCGTGGGAACCTGGCGCTAACACAGTCAAAGCACATGCATGGCAAATGATACAGCTGATGGACCAGCAGTGCTTGTTGATGTTATTGTTGTGCATCTGAGCTCCTCGTTTTATTTTTATAGTATATAAATAAAACACTGTGTTGAACATGCATTGTAACTTCATTGTGGAAATTGTGGAAATTAAAGAAATGAGAATAATTGTAGCTATGGAAATAAATAAGTGCATAACAGGTGTATTTCCATATTAAATAATGCCAAATCTGATAGGCTTATTCTACATTTGGGAGGAGACTGATTTTGTTCATTTGAGTGGCTTTACTAAAAGGGTTTTACACATTGTTTGCACAAAGTAGCCTTATGCACATGTCTCACAAACAGCCACAGGAGTAACTGCTAACACTGTTGGGCATACTGTTGTATGCCAGAGCCCTGGCAGAAACACCGACATTTGATGCCATGTCATTATTTAATGTGGCCTAATTACCTAAGCTAAATTAAATTAAATTTTCTGTCAAACCTGTGAGAAAGCTTTAGGAAAAGTTGCATCATGCTCACCTGTGTGACATATGTACCTGAGCAGAGTTAGCCCTCCCACTTTACAAACTTGTCACCTGTTTGTGCTTTAAATATGATGGCACCATCTAGTGATTGAAATAACAAATACAAGTTGTATCCAAACTAAATAGTAAAAGTTGAACTTAACATATGAGGATCATCTCAAGTCTCAAATCTTTGTGGACTCACACATGAAGAAACTTCACTGAAACCAGCCAGAAAAAAAAGGTGACAAGTTAATGCAGGTGATACATGTGATGCCTTGATTACCAGTGATGAGATTATCCTATAGTACGCTTTGTTATAAGGCTTTATGTTACGATTCTACGATTGTCTGGACAAATAGAACAGCATTTGGTAAGTGAAACTGCTTTTGTTTTCTTTACATCTGCAGTGTGTTAATTTTGCCTATCGTGTCGCTTGTGGATAGTGTTCCCTGATGTAAATTCTATTTGAATGGCCCTTGCTCTTTAGTGTGTGTTGCTGGATTGTTTTGTCATGCTTTGTTGTAAATATGTGACTGG